AGGGTGTTTTTTTGGGAGCTTTAGTTAAACGTTTCTGGGAAAGTAAAATAGGTAGGTTTTTGAAAATTTGTACTTAGGAGTTACTCTGAAGACCGAATCGATGTAAAATATTTTCAAAATGGCCACACTTCCGGAAACACCGGAAGTAGATAGTAACTTCGTTATATTAAATGACAACCCCTATTTTTTATTGCATTTTTGGATTCTACGTAAAATTTCAGTTCTTTTGATACCCACATGTCCATATCTGCCATTTATGGTTTTTAAGTTATTTTGACTTTATGAAAAAAAATGGCGGATGCAGATGGTACCTTGATAATTGATTACTTGAAAACGGTTATAGTCATGGCAACCCATTTTTATCAGTGCATAGAGAATGAATAGGGCTTTCTTTTAGTGTACTTAAAAAAAATTAAGTTGCGTACAACCGCACCTATGGAGATCCAAATTTAAGAAACTTCAAAGTCCAAAAACTCAGTTTTTTAAAATGGAATGACCATGTTCTTACTATTGCATGAGATAGAGAATCGAAATTGGAATATTTTGATATTACATGTTCCTATAGCTATCTTTAACATTTTCTGATTTATTCCCATTTCATTGAATTGATGCCATTTTTTTTGCATTTTCATTTTAGTAGTTGGCCATGATTTTATAACAATCGAATTTTAAACAAATCAAGAAAAAGATTCTTTAATATCATTGATTCTAGTCTAAATAATTCATTAATAAATAAGACATTTATTAAGGATATAGGATGGAAAATTTTTGAAAAATCTAGACAGAGTCGTTCAACTGAATTTCTTAAACAACTTATAAGTCTAAAAATTCAGAGAGGTAATGCGATATCTGTTCTAGCAACAATTCCATACAAAAAATATTTCAACGAAGTGTTTTATAATTTACATTGAATTTATTTTGTTAATCTTGCATTTGCAATTCAATTCATTCAATATTCTCTTGTAGAGCTTTGTATCACTTGTGCTTCAACGGCTTGTAGTGCATTTGGGGATACAACATTTCCAAAATTCATACAATTTCGTTC